AAAAAATGGTGAAAAATAAAAACCATAAGCTTTTAGCTCATTAAAATCGACACCCATGGCAAATTGCATCTATATACCATAACACAAGGCGATACGCGACTGTAATACGTTCGCGCGCACCCGCGTCTCGTTTCAGAATCTATACCACGCGGCGACGACGACGACGACCTGGTGTGCCTCTCTCGCTGCTGCACCACTGCACGCAGTCTTTGTTCGAGCCCATACCACTTCAGCAGCAGCGAACGATATCAGACTGCCGTAGTTGTAGTAGTAGCTAGTAGGTAGTAGTAGTAGTAGTTGCAGTTGCAGCGAGAAGGTGTACATACAGAGTATTGTACGCGCCGCGCAGCCCGTTGTTTCAGATCCTTATCTCGCGCGCAACTTATACGTATATAGACCTGCACCGCTTCGAGCGCCAAGGTTCTCTCTCTCTCTCTCTCCAGTCCCTTATGTGCAGCAGCTCATACAGTATCAGTCGTTGTGTACTTACAATATACACCAAACAGCAGCAGCAGCAGCACAAGTCCAAGTTGCAGTGGTATATATAGAGTTTACAGTGGGTGTACTACTAAGTGCTCCTACTACTGCTGCTCTGGATACGAGCTTGAGGCGCGAGGAAAAAAATCATTTGTACTACATATTGCCGGGGCTTACACATACGATTACGCCTCGAGTTTTCAACGACGTGCCAGCTTTTGTTTTCAATATAACGCGGCGCATTGACAGCTGATTTCTTACCCGAGATATATTACACCGAGAGGCATACACGGTCTACGAGAAGTCCGTGGAATTATGGAAAAATTTATACAATTGTAGCTGAGGATATTACAAAATAAAGCGTATAACTGGCAGCGCGAGAAATTGATATAGCCAAGAGAGCCGGTTAAATGAATTATAGCTTCATTCGAGGGAATAATGCACCAGCGTATATGAGCAGTCTGCAGCAAAAAAATAATAATACGATCTTGCGCTCACGATCATATTAAAACGCGCAGAAGTTTCGTTTTCAAGGAAAATTTCTCACGGCGTATTAAAATAATTCATGATACGGTCTAATGCAGAGAGAGAGATGGAGATGAAGAGCCCCACTACTACTACTCGCGTGCATAGTTAAAATCGCAAAAATGTATTATAGTCAAAGTCGACGGGGGTTTATACAGAGATACGGCCCCCCCATTAAGAAAATTACTTTCCAATTGGATCAATCTTTGCAAAATAATAGTGATAGATGCTTTTACGGAGAAAACGCAGTGCCGATATAAATGAGAATTCACGACATCCCTTTTTTTCTCCCATTCTAATTTTAATATCAAAATAATAACTCGAGGCCTTACTGTGTCCGAGCGAATTTGCGCAGGTAAATATATGCAGACACACATACGCGCGTAGTTCTCCCTTTCTCTCTCTCTCTTTCTCTTCTACATGTGCCTCGGTACTTATCTCGCATAATAATTATTTTTATCTTTAATCTCGAACTCGGTGCAGTATCTGCCGCGTGTATATATTATTATAGTTTTGACTTTTACCGGCTAAAATTTTGAACAATCGTTTATTTCGTAATATAACCCCGGCGATCTCCACACAGGTTATCGTGTATGCGCGAAACGTCGGATTATTAAAAACGATGAAAAACACCGGCCGTTTTTATTATTCACCCGCGCGCGCGCAAAGACGACGACGGTTTGGGGAATGTATAATTTTATTACCGACGAAAAGTGAATGCACACACTATTATAATATATTACAAAGTACGCAACAGATACTCGACCTTATAGTTCGATCGAGCGCCGTGCGATCGTATACACATTGTTTCCTACAAAGTCTCGGCTTATATAATTGTGATATTAAACAGGCGTGTGCGCTTCTACAAATGTATCTGCATATGCAGAGAAAACAGCTGGATGAGAGTGTATTGATGGGCTCATAATTTAACGCGTGAACTATATACCAGGCGTGTACAGACAACCAAGCTCTCAAATGTGTAATAGAGAATATAATATCATATATAATATGCATATATTAATAATTATAATGGTGAGAAAAACTACCCAAGAGTATGCGAGAGTGAAACTTTAGTTTAGAAGGAAAACAGAAAAATATTTTATTTTGCAACATTAATAGACGGGATTTTGTGGATATATATTCAATCGTTATTATATTACAAATAATGAAAAAAAATTTATTTGTCTCACTCACTAAATGCTAAACCTTTAGGAGTTAGTTATCAACAATTTTAGTACATGCAAATTTTTGTAAACGATATATCGGGCGTACAGGCAGCTGAGCTCTCAAATGTGTTCAACTAAATCATATATAAGCATGTATTATTAATTATAATGGACGAGAAAACTGACGAAGAGTATAGGCGAGAGTGAAATTTAAGTTAAGAAGGAAACTCGTTGAACACTAAAATATGAATGGGTCGTGTGTGCGAGCGAAAAACGAGCGCGACTACCAAGAATCGTAGCAACAGCAGCAGCAGCAACAGCGTCTCGCATTCGTACGTGGAACCATATAGGAGAAGAGTTACAATAACAGGTCGACGGCAGTCGCACTATATATACACACACATTATAAACTGCCTGAATACTAACTCACAGACAGCCCTCGAATATATACATATAATACGAGTGTTCTCGCGCCATACAGTGGCTAATAATAAGTACTCTAATGTGTATACACAATAAACGTTATCGAGGAAAAAAATCCTGATTATTTATGCGTCATTTTCATTAAAACGATAAGTGGAAAGATCAACGCTCTCTGAAGGAGAGACGAGTAGAGAGATTTATGCGCATCGCGCGCACGCATGACAAGATAAAATCGTACTTGAGAATCTTGCTCTCCGCGAACGAGTGTTTGTGTGTGTACACATATATTTGCTTTCCTCAAAAGAGCGTAATAACGACGAGTGCTCGCGGACGAGCTCGTATGAATACGAAAATGCACTCGATTCGAATTTGAATTTCGCCTCACGCGCGCGTATCGCGAATATAGAAAATGGCCATAAATATTTTATTAGCACGCGCCTGATATGAGGAAGTATGCGTGTGAGCTGCCTATATAAGGGCAGTATAACGCATAAATATACTTCGCAATAAATCATAATGTTTTACGATGAAGAAACAAAATTTGGTTCCTCTTACTGATTTATTTTTTTTACAATCAAACGCGCTGGCGCTTGGGATATGTGTGTTTTTGAAATAATGATGTCAAAAAAACCAATGCCCCCATCGCTGATCATCGAGTTATAACTTTATAGTTGGTAAAAAAAGTGACTGGGTTGGATTTTTTTCCTTCAACTACAAAATCCCACTGTCTTGTTTCGAACGCGAGCATCTCTTGGATATACTCGGCGTGCACGACGACGACGACGACGACGACGACCAAAAGGTCTTTCGGCCGACGATGTGCATAGCATCGTGTCTCGGGCGTTCATTCCTCAGAGCATTCATATATACGAACACAGAGAGCAGAGCACGCGAGAGAGTCCAAAACAAAAAGTGCCGACGTCACAGAAGAATTACAGCGCATTTTTTCGAAATAAAAAAAGAAGGAGCAGAAGGTAGCAGTCGAGGCTCCGGTCATGGCTCTCTCTCTCTCTCTTTCGCTTTTTTTCTATATTTATTCTTCTGTTTTTTATTTGCGCGCTCACTCGCTGACTTACACATAGCACATCGCATATAATATCGACGGAAAAATTGTTGTTGATTTATCGCGAAGATTATATTCAATTAGACGCTTGCGTAACTGCAAAAGCAGCAGCAGATATTCGAGAGTCAACGTCGTTTGTTCACTCGCTCGGGAGCGCGCGCGCCAAGCGGTAGACGTCATTGATATACATTATATTAATACACACTTACACACGAGCGCGTGCGAGCACACGTCGATCCAGGCATCACCGCGAGTTTGTAATTACACACGATGAGCGTGTGATATTCGTATTGTTTCTACATATGCCCAACAGTAAAACTCACACATACACACATACTAATGGACGCAAGCACAGATGAATCCTTCAGATTTTTTTTCATGTACGCTCCATCACGTTTAACACGACAGATCACAAACTCGCTTCAATGACAATCGAGGTATTACTCGAAGTGTTTGACATGTGTCGAACGGCGTGATGAATTTAACGCTCGTATAGGCCTCGAAACGTCGAGATATACAACAACGCGAAAAAAAAACATTTCGCCATCGTGTCAAGTGTAAAATTTGCATCTCTTTATTGTGTACGTATGTGTGTGGCGCGTTTTGACTCGACTTACAACAAAGCTGCGCCAGCGAGCGTACGCGTAATTTTCCAACTTTGTACACGGCATTCAAACGACGATTTACGCGAAAAGGCATTTGAATAAATTTCTACGAAAAGCTACGCGCGCAGCAGTTATATGCATGCGCAGACTACGTACCATATACAAATACATGCACATTCTGTGCGGTGCGCTGCAGCACGCACGCGTCGAGTCGTCTATCAAACTCGTATTATAATAAACTAACGCAGTTCTCCCCTTTTTAGAGAGATTTTTCTCTGGGCTGCGCTCCGAGTTGGTGTTGGTGTTATGTAGCGGTGTGCGTGGGTATGCGGCTATGCCTCGCGCGCGCACAGACAGAGCAGCACAGAGGCATATATTAGAGATTAGCATCGCGGAGAAAAGCGACGTCCAGATATATATGTTGTTACGCTTATAAATATCGCGTATGTATACGTACAGACACACACACACACATACATCATTTAAGCAAAATGGATGGCGTGTGTGCAGCAGCACTCGCCGTGTATACACATACGCGCGTTAGCGCGTCAAGTATTATAGTGGTGTATAACGACGAAAGGAGAAAAAAGAAAGAGAATCCCGACGCTTTTTAATCGCGCGTATCGATCTTTCCGATACTTGTCACCTCCGTATATAATACACGTGAAATAGCGATACACACGGAGTCACACACAACGAGTTATGCATAGGAGACAAGAAGAGAAAAGAAGGAAAACTCACCTGCTCGATTGTAAACTCGGTGCGTCGAGACACAGAGAGATACGACGACGACGACGACTTCAAGGGCACACGCACGCACAGATTATGCACAGTTTAACGGCTGTGCACGGTGCAGCGCACACTTTCGAACGTTCCTCGTTGCAGCCGCCGATCTGTATATGCGTTATATATGCAACAGCAGCAGCGGCGAACCGGCGATATGTGCACGCGGGCTCGCGCGTGTTGTATGCGTGTTGTATGCGTGTGATGGGATGGGGCTGCTCTGCTCCGCTCTCTCTCTCTCACACCGCTAACGATGCTGCCTCGTGCGCTGCTCTCCTCTCTTCTGACTCGCTTTTATTTATACACATATATACGTAGGTGTATATTTGCACTTGCACGAGCACACAGAGACACATACACACACACGCGGAACACAGAGCACTAAAAAGCAAACATGCGACGTGCAGCTCGCGAAATTCACACCTTTTTTTTTATTTCGCTGTTGTACTCGCTCTCTCTCTCTCTTTCTTTCTCTCTATCTCTCTCTTACTCTGTCACAAGATCATATCACTTGAACAAAACAAGAGAAAAAAAACTAACGGTAGGATATGTGGGGGGAAAGAATTTAAAAACCAAGGATCACAGAATCACTGATAAAACGGGCTTGCTATACACAATAATGATAGCACAGCAACACACAAAAAACTTCACACGGATCCGCGGCGCGGAGGGAAAAAACAAAACCACCCGGAGAACTCTTCATTCACTTCGTTACGTTATATATGTATTTATATATCGTACAATACACACGTAAACTTCCTTGTATTTTGTGTAACACAAACTTTTCGTGCAAAAATACTTTGACGCAGAAAGAGAGCCGTGTGCTAGCGCGCGAGCTGTGCTCTCGCTCTCCTCGTCCTTTTTATAAGTGTATCATAAAAGGACGCAGTAAAAAAGAAGCAGCGGCAACGGCACAGTACAGTCAGCAGCAGCAGCAACGCACCTGTCAAAGCGAGCCACTTCTTCGTTCTTCTTTTTTTATTTCGCTCTCTTTCTTTCTTCGCTGTGTATATATATGTGTGTGTATATATACACTACTCGTCTTCCTCTCCTTTACTCAATCAATGTGTGTGCATTATCCTTTGGCACGTAACGCGAGCATCTTTTTTTCTCGCGCCAACGAGAAATACGTACAGATATACAATGGATGGAACCAAATGTCGTTCTGTTTGGTTATACGTGTAATAAGTAGCGATTAACGCACACACGAAACTCGCGTTAACGTTCGAAAAAGCGTAGAAACGCGTTTTAAGCGCCTACAGAAACTCAACAACAACACACCCGAATAAAACAACGTATTTTTCTAGCGTTCGAAATTCAAATGCATAAAAGCGTTAACCGGCGAGTTGTCGTGCACTCATAAAAACATAAATATGCCGCGGACACATTGAAACGACATCGGCACCGGCATCAACGCGCGTTCGAAACTCCCTAATAGACACGACTCCGTATAGAAAAAACAAATCTTGACGTTTGTTGCGTGTACGAAAGTGTGTAACGTTATATACGTATACACCCTATCTCTCGCCGTGCGAACGGTACACGAAACACTGAGTAGTCGCTCGTCTCGCTGCTCGCTGTGAAGCCGCCGGCTTTCGCCGCCGCTGCCGCTTCTGGCGGCTCGCGCGCGCTGCATGTGTCAGTGACCGTGTACGTGTGTGTCTGTGTGCAGTGTATATATACAAACCGGCGCGCACACACACACGCGAGTATAGGTAAAACGCGGAGTGCTGGCTGCCGGCGCGCTACGGAACGAGGGGCTGTGTGTGTTGCTATACACACAGACACTGTGCAAGGAGAAGTGGGGAGGGGATTTCGCTAAACTCGCATCGCCGCATGCGAATGCCGTGCGCGCAATACGTTCAACGGTCGTGCGTCGAACAGAGACGGATGCAGGGATTTGAGGGGAAATGGATTTTACGCGTGTAAGTCAGTGTGTGTGCGTGAGCAGTGATGGTGGTGGAGGAGAGCCGGTCGCGCGGACCGTCCCGAGACCTGCCGTTTTCCTGACGCTTATGGGGTGCAGACAGATAGCGAACGATTCTTATATTACCTTTTTTTGCTCGTGTTAAACGTTATATTGTATTGAGTTTATACTCGCGGCTGACGATTAGTTGTTATAAACGATGATCATCTTTTCGAAAATATTGGAACACTCGACGAACGGTAGCAGCTAACGACTTGCGGTCTCACACAATTTCAAGAGCCATGATTCTGCAACATTTGTATTTTTCGGGAATGCCAAGGAAACTCCCAACGTTGAGGTAAGTTTTTGGGCTTCCTAACGTACAATAGTGTTATAGAAATTTAATTGGTTGTCGCGCGATTATGATGTAAAACAAAAGAGCTCGTCATTGTTAACTTTCAAAATTAATCGAACCTCTCGAAGGTCTAGTTCGTAATAAGGACGTTACTCTTTCTCGCCACGTTCCAAATCGAACGTGTTTGAGTGCGAAGCTCGCGAACGTTCATTGCAACGGAAAATTCGAACATAATTTGACCATTTCCAATTCTTCTACCCTCGATACATGACGGTCACGCGGCACTTATACTCACACATACGCAATACACACAGGTGAAAACAGACAATGCACAGCAGCGGTGGCAGTGGTGGCTGCCGGTCTGCCCTTATGTTATATTCGAAGCAACTCGGTGAAATCCGTGAGCGTTCGGCCTCTCGTCTTGTATAGTATCCTCGCGCCTTTTTACAATGTGCAACACGCACGCGATACACATAACCACGCGGAGCACTCATCGACCCTTGTACATATGGAAAAAAGAAAGGAACGCGTGACTGCCTTATAACATCCTATCGAACTGTTCATACATGATCGCCGTACACATCTGCCGCTCTGCTTCTTCGAGGACGATATATATAATGTACCTCCCTAATAATTTGTACACTTATACAGGTATTGTAGCCAAGCAATAATGCACTCGGTCTGCTGTGTGTCTCTTTGTCGCGCTTACTACCGAGAACACTGATTGTGCGTTCGAATCGCTGCGCGGAATTCCAAAGGTTTGAATGCGCAAGATACAAAAGCGACACTTGACGAGCGACACTTTGCTGTTTATTATCGTACGAATTTTCATTCGAAAAAGTGTACGTTCGATGCGTCTATACATAAATATATATGTACTCGGCAACGCAATTTTTTGAGAAATGACGCCCCAGCCGGCGTACTGCCTCGAGCCGATCGATAAGAGAGAAAGAGAGAAAGAAAAGAAGAAGAGCAGAAAAAATATTATACACCACTCGAATCTGCATCGGCGCGGGGCATTATAATACATTATCTTGATTAATTGGCAGCCCGAGCCGTATTACATATTACGGAACGTCGGAGCGAGAGAGTTCGGCGCAACCGTATATATATAGTCGTACACCACTCTGCCACACAGTCGCGCGGATGTAATTTTGCAAAATGATTGACATTGATAAGGTAATTTCGATACATATCGCGATACACCTCAAAGAGCTCATATACAGCGGTATCTATAGCCAACAGGCGTAAGTGAGTAATTTTTTTTGCAATTCAAATCAGTGTTGTTTTTTCCCTTAAGTGGATAATTTTTCTTAACTCTTTCTCTCTCTTACTCTATCTCACTCCTCAGAGAGAGAGAGCAAGAGGGGCATATAATAAAAACGTCTTGTACTCGTTCTGGGGTATTAATAATGTTGTCATAATTGTTGCACGAGGCACACACTGCACGAGTTATGTACCCGCGAGTATATAACGCAGCTTTATAAACATGTAAATACGCGCGCGCGAGTTTCCACAATCGTTCTCTCGTTAAAAAAAAAAAAAAGAACGAAGAAGAAAAAAAAATTAACAAGCCATCAATTATAACGAAAATTCCGGTATTATACGCAACAGCTAACGCGACTATTTTCATGCATACATACGTATAATATATACAAAGTCGCGCATAGTTTGTTATTATTTTTACCTGCTAAATGCCCCCGCGTGTGCTGTATTAAAGCTGCGCAGTGCAGTGTATATATAATGCGACAACAAGCTCTGGAAAACATTATATGCCCTTCTTAAAAACCCTCGCGCGCGCGCCACGATATGTATGTATGTATGTATAATAATGCCGCGGTATTAACCTGGGCCCCCGAGGCTGCTGCTGCTGCTGCAGATCGAGCGAGAGATGTGTATCGCTCTCTGTCTCGCTCTCTCTCTCTCTCTTACTCCTCGAGGCCTCCGAGTAATAATTATAATAAATGAAAAAGAGAAGATGAAGAACGAGAGGAATAAAAAAGATGTAATAATTAATATTTTCCTATACAAGGCGAAAACTACTACTCCCTCACTCGCGTGTACATGCATGTATATTATGAGCGCCAAACGGAATGCAAATAAACATTTATATATACAGGGAACGTAATCCCGCGGCTCTTGTAACGATCTATCTTTCGACGAGGAGGAGGAAAAAAAATATAAATATTATACACGAATTTATATATCTCGACCGAATTATCTATGCCACAGCTCTCTGCTGCAGGCCACCCGTCATGACTTTTCTCTCTCTCTCTCTCTCTTCCCCCTAATCCTCGGGGCAACTGTGTCCTCTGCGTTATATATACATGCATAAATGCACCGAGTACACTCGTCCTCTATATACCGCTATATAGGCTCGAGCATTCAACCAACATTCAGGATTATTTATGCAATACACGCATGTGTGTTGGCTGCCGCGTCGTTCACATATACCGTATACAGTAGTGTACAGAAGCGGCAGAGCTTTTCATAACTATGCGGTACACAAGTTTTTAATGGCCACCACGACGTGCGCGCGTGCATGACCGCCCATGCCCATGTGTGTGTGTGGATATTGCTTCGCTATACGGTGCAAATTTTTTAATTTTTTTCACTTTTTCAAAACCGAACGTCGTAACGCCTCTTTTTCTTTTTTTTATACCGAGCGAATGCGCACCCGCGCATGTGTTGTGTATGTTGCGCCTATTAATCGTGCGAGGCACGTAAAATGCATTTTTTTCTCTTTATATTTGATTGCCATACAAATATGTATATCCACGCGATCGTACATTGATTTTTTTATTCGCGTTCGACGCATTAATTGAGAAAAATTTATGGAAAAAATTGCTCGATTTTCTTCACTGGACACCGAGCAATTTTTCACTTTTAAAAAATTACCCCAAGACAGCACCATATAAAGTATTAACTCCGCAAAGAGAAAAACTTCAATTAAATCTGTTCCAATTTGCGCACTAGACTTCTCGAGTCGCTCGCTCGTTCGGCCGCGTGCACGGTCGGAATACGCAATTCCTTATACCGTATTCATCACCTAATCAACTGTAAAATTTTCCAAGAATCCCCCATAACCATTAGCAAACAGGTTACCGTACAAATGAAACTCTCCTCGCTCTCTCTCTCTCTCTCTCCCTTAGACCATGTCAGAGATAGTGAGAGAGAACTGCGCTCTGAGCCCGGCGCTAAAATAATATGACCCTGTGTCGGAGAGTCAAGAGAGAGAGAATGAGAAAGAGAGCCCATATACCGTATGAATGTATATACCTCGAGAACCAAACTTGAGGAAAGCGAAAAAAAAGAAAAAAAGAGGGAGAGAGATAGTATGTATACGAGTCAAAACGCTTTATATACTCCCATACACGATGATATATAAAGGCACGATTCAATAAACTATGGCAATTGATGGATACTTAATGTTATACGACGACGACACAGCAGCAGCAGCAGCAGCAACATCAGGATTAAAGCTCGAATATCGACTGTAAAAGCTTTAGGAATATAATATAAGCTCGAATACGTGTTTCGCGCGCCACGCGCACGTATTAGGTAGTAATATTGCTGCTGGTAGACTGCATTATATACGCGTGTGCTGTACAAGCGGGAGTAACTAGCAGTAAGTACAGAGAGAGAGAGAGAGTCGGGGTCTGTGTGTGAGTACGTTGTGTTGTGTGTGGGTGGGTGGGTACAAGCACCGTACCAAACACAGAGAGAGAATATAGGTACAAACGGCAAATGATAAGCTATCGCAGCAGCAATTGTAATGGTACATAATAATACGTGTCTAAGACACTCGATTGCTACTACAACTATACAACTAGATGCTTAACCATTGATCGGCGGCGTGCTTTTCGACAATCGACTCGATTCGATCTTATATACCGGCAAGATCAAGTTGTTGTATAATATTTATCTTGGGTTACATCGAAATCGAGCAATTTTTTTTCTCGTTTTACCGCAAGTCGCGCGCAACTTGCGGCTGCTCGCGTGGTTTCGAATTTTCTTACCCGGCACAGCAGTGCACGTCAGTACACAGCAATTGACTCGACCGATGCGCGCAGCTGCTAACACCATCTAACGAACGTTCGGTCAACTTCGCGAGGAGAAAGTGATGTTAACTTCGCGGTCAATATACCTACGCGCGTGTGTAGGCGAGTTTTTTAATCTTTGTGCTTCGAGGATCGTCTCGAACGAGTCGCTGAGTAATTTTGTAAACATACTTTAAAA